GGACTGTTTCTATAGTTACAAATGGAGGCTTTTAAAATTGCAAAGTGTTAAGAATTTTTAAAAAAATTAGTCTGAAGTGCAGTGTTTTCAGTATGTCCACTTTTACAATTTCGTATTTGGAATTTATAAGAAATAAATTGAAAAAAATAGGGTCCCAAATCCAGGTCAGCTAGGTCATATGGAAAAAATATATGCAGGTGGCGCTGATGTGTTAATTTCCGGCAGAATTGTTACTTTCCGGCATAAATGTCCTGAAATTGGACAAATATGTTAATTAGAGGACGTATTATGCAAGTAAATGAAGTTAGAGGACCAATATCGGGCACGGCCAAAAGTTATTGGACTAATTTAACAAATTTACCGATACAAATATTGTGAAGATGTTATGGTGAGAATATGAAAGGATCAAGATCCAATCAACCGATAAAGTCAAATGTTGCTGGTGGGATTTCAGGATACGTACCTCTCACTATTTTATTCATATATTTTGATTGGGTGATCCATATACGGTTATTCAAGTTTTGGTGAATAGAAAACTTCATTGTCTATAACTTTGGTGAAGGAATCATGTCCAAATTAGTACCGGAAAAAAGATAAATAGTTCGGCGCCGATCCGGCTACAACCGACGCTTATCGGATGTTGAATTTGCAAAATATACCACTGTAATAGTGTAATGGATCAGGCCGGTCATTTGATGTAACCGGAACCAGTTGATCTGGTTTCCCGTGAAGTACGACTACAATTGGCTCTGGTCACATGCAAAATTGGCACTGATTGTACTTATTCTTGGACAAAACAACAGAACATGCTAAAATATTGTGAAGAGATGTGAAGACTTGGAGGTTGAGAGCGAAGAAATTTTTTTGACCCAATTTGTTATCGTGAATAAACTAAAAGATGCCAATTTTTAGCTTGTATAAACCCCCGTTTCTATCCCTTAATCATCACCCATCCCACACTTTAATTCCTAGTTTTTATATTTTATTATTGCTATTTCTAGGTATTCTTGAAGAAGGAAGTTCATCCTTCTCAATCATTTGTGTTTAGGTATTATTTCATTTGTAATTTGACATTCTTTTACATTTTATTGTTGTACTGAGATCAATATGAGTATTAGAGGCTAATTTTTTAGATCAAGCTAGAGATAAACCTCTATGTCTACTAGGTGTTTGATAAAAGTCCTGAACCAAGAATATGAGATTTATCCTTTACACTTTGATTGTTTATGACTATTGTGTACAACATTGAACTATGTTAAAATTAGTTTATGCTTGCAATTAACATTGAGGTCTAAACTATGAACATTAAAGGAAAACATATTAGTACCGTGAATAGAAACATATTCAGTCTTATATGAACCAAACATTCCAACCCAGTTGGTTGTGAGGTTACCATGCTTAGTGGGAGGTCTCGAGTTCAAAACCCGCTAGGCACATAAGGGGTTGAAACTCAATGGAGTGAGTTTCAGCCCAAATTACTCGAGGCTCCCCCAGCCCCTCTCCCCCAGACCCCCCTGGAGTAAAAAAAATATTCAGTCTTATATGATATGGCCTGAGTGTGATGTCTTGATATTCAACTGAGGTTTTCAGTAGATAAATGTAAGCCGTAACGGAACTTGTGCATAAGAAAAACCATGCTCCCGCTGCCGTAACCAGCGTTAGGAATATATTAGCGTCATTGTATTCATAATTATTGAGAAAAAACTAGTATTAAACCCTATTATACCTTTTGGATGAATCTCGATTGCCTTAGTAATTCTCATTCTTGTTCAAATCAATATCAAAGAAGCAAATTCCTGAAATTAACATTATTTCTATACTTTGCATTCAATCCTCAAATTTTATAATATTAACCATTTCCTTATGGATCGACCCGGTATTTATCGGGTTTTTATTACTACATTAGCACTTGTATACTTGTATGTTTGGATAGATCATTTCACTATGGAGGCAGAATTTGTGGCACACTTTGAGGTTACTGTTCATGGTTTTTGGCCTTGTTTCAGGACTTGGAATTGTCGACAGTATAACTAAGCTGATGAAAATTTATTGTGATATTTTTGCATCAGTCTTCTTCATGAAGAATGATAGATGCACTAAAGGTGCTAATTCGCTAAGCACATAGATTCGAAGCATTTGTCAATAGAAGAAGAAATAAAGAAACATAGTGTTTATTAATACAAAATATGAAAAACAGTTTAAAGCACATTTGTATCTGCTTTCAACATTTACCTAAAGTGTATAATTCAAAATAACATGTTATTTGAAAATATAAATTTCAGCTTTTAAAGTAAAATGTTAAATCACTTTTTAATTTATTGCAAAAACTTCCTTAATATTTCTATTATACCGTTTCTATGTTATGATGCTTTAATTGAATAGATGAAATATATTTTTATGCAAAAACATAAAATTTACATGCCTATTTTTATCATTTTCTACAATTCTTTTAGAGAATTTTCCAAATATGTTTTTAAGGACATTCGAACTAACTCTCAGGAGCATTCTCGTCAACATAGTTTTCAAGATTGCTTGTAGAATTCTACCATCACCATTAGAAAGTCATTCATTCGATGGTAATTCATGATCAATATTGATCATTGAAGACTTGTATAAATAGTACATGAATGATTATCACTATATTAGGTAATCATGCTCTAGAAGTGAAAGTTTTGACAAGGCAACTTTCACATACTAATCGTATCATATTCAATGACAATAAATAAAAGTAAGAACAATCTTTACTTGATTTGTTTATGCGGAAACAAACTTTTGGTCATGATTAATGATATGTTGCACTATCACCCTTGACATATCAGGATGGTTTGAAAGCCCTCGCATATGTTGTGTATATATATATTATACTTTGTATATAAAGATTATTTTTGAAATTTGTAAACATTTGTCTTTTGTCTATTGTTCCAAAAGACTTCATTATGCACCACATAGGCAAACGCAGACCTAACGCTCCAAATGTCCTCAAGGCGAAATCAAAGACAGGTTAAGCCCATGGGTGGACTCGGGCCGGTTCGGGCCCGGGCCGGGCCTAGGCCCGGTCAGGCCTCCGGCCCCCGCCCGGAACCGGCCCGGGTAATCCCCGGTTCCGGGTCGGGCCGGGCCGGGCCTTAGTTTTTTTTTTCTCTTTTCCTAGTTAACCCCCAACCTTCCCCCTCACCCCCAAACCACCCCAAATGGCCCAAAATACCCAGCCCAACCCAAAAAGTAAAAAAAAAAAAAATTGGGGAAAAAAAATTAAAAAGGCCTGAAACCGGGCCCGAACCAGCCGGGCCGGTTCGTGATTTGGGGGCCCCGAACCCGGACCGGACCCCCAGCGGGTCCGGTCTACCCGGACCGGTCACTGACCGGGCCATCGGGCCACCGGGCCACCGGGCCGGAACAGTGCCGGTTCGGGCTGGTTCCGGGTCGGGCCACCCGGCCCGAGTCCAGGCATTGTTAAGCCATTTATATCTCGAAAAAATTAATTAGCGGCGGTCAAGGCCCAACTAATCCACGTACAACGGATAAATAGGGTTAGTCCTAGTTTTATGTTTCATCCGTTCTGTAATAGTTGCAACATTGTTATTTTTGCACTATTAACACACTTTACTTTAACCACAATTTTCTACTAATATACGAAGTATATAATCAAATTAATAATTATGTAAAAAATGTTACTCTCTTAGTCCCATTTTGTAAGATATTTTTTCTATTCATTTGACCAACACAAATCACTCTTAATCTCTTACATTATATATCAATTTTTTATCAAATTGGATTCTGATTTTTGCAACTTTGTAAAACTTTTAATGTAATTTCTGAACATGTAATTCTTTTTTTCTAAAAATAATTTGAGTGCGAACAAAAATATATTTGCTTTATCATCGATCAAACTAGGCCTGGACTCGGGCCGGGCGGCCCGACCCGGAACCGGCCCGGCCCGGCCACTGTAGCAACCGGCCCGGCCCGGTGGCCCGGTCCACCGGCGGTTCGGGTCGAACCGGCCCGGTGGTTCCCGGTTCCGGGCCCGGGCCTTCCAAATGGTGAACCGGCCCGGCCGGTTCGGGCCCGGTCCGGGCCGGATTTTAATTTTTTTTTTTTTTTGAAATTTTTTTTGAAGTTTTGGGTTGGAATAGGTATTTTGGGCCATTTGAGGTGGTTTGGGGTGGTTTGGGGTTGAGGGGGAGGGGTAGGGGATTAAATAGGAGAACAAAAAAAAAAAAATTAAGTGGGCCGGTTCGGCCCGGCCCGGCCCGATTTGGCCCGAAACCGGGACCGGAACCGGCCACCGGCGGTTCGGGCCCGGGCCTACCATTTCCTGGCCCGAGGCCCGGCCGGGCCCAGGCCCGAACCGGGCCCGAACCGGCCCGAGTCCAGGCCTAGATCAAACATCGTCAACTGTAAAGTGCCTTACAATTCGGGACAGAGGGGGTATTAAATTTCTATTAATGTGAATTTCCAAAATATTAACTTTTTATAATGTTTACCAATACATAATTAAATATAATTACAATTAAAGTTGCACGTTAGCAAACGTGAAAGTCAAAGTGTTGCAACTATTAAAGATCGAAAAATTTATTAATAATATATATTTTAAATATAATTTTTTTATAATTCAGCAAAATCAGTCAATCTAACCACTTAAACCAAAACTTCATAAAATTTAGCAAGATCAGCCAATTCAATCAAATTCAATATCACATTCAATCAAACTCATAAAGTACAATTTCAATATTAATCAACCGACAAACAATTTGAAAAACTAAAAGATATAAATAATAAAATACTCCATAACAAACTAGTATAAAAATCCTTCATATGAATCATATCAACTAAATCAATTACTCAATTAGTACTCTAACACATATTTTTTGCGTTCTTTTTTAGTTGCAACATTCAAAGTTGCGCATTTACCAACACACACATTTGACTGTCAATATATCTTATTCTCTATTAGTAAAAAAATTTAAAAATCAAAATTTGAAAATTTGTAATGAGACGAATTGAACAGAATTTAAAAAAATAGTTCTCGTAAATAAATAAATAAATAAATTGTAGTCAAAGTAGAGCATGTTAATAATGTAAAATTCAACATGTTGCTATTAAAAAGAAAATGAGGATAGTACTAAATTGTTTCTCTTATATACTATCTAATTCCCAATTCCTATAAAGATGTCTAACTATAAAGTATGACAAGCAAGAAGGCTATAAGCAATAGCCAACGTTTCACCCTTGCTAACAGAGAATAATTGCATTTGTAAATACACAACTCCCCTGATGTTCTTGGAGCAGAAGCAGGTTCCTTTTCCACAATCTGTTGTGATCATATAATAGTCTGCAGAAAACCTCTGCCCTCCAAATAAGTGGCAACTTCAGCAGCCATGTCATTTGGTGTAGGGCATGCTCCGTCTTTTTGACTCAGCTCAATCTAAACAAAAGATTCTTTTTAGACAGTAATAAAATAAAACCTAAATAACGGTTCAAATACATACAATGAACTAGTCATACAATTAACGGTCCACTAAGTATCATGGAAATGGGAAGGGAAACAAGATTTGTAAGAAATATAGTATATGAAACGGGGGAAACATGTAAATATTAAAAAATATAAAAATTTAATACGAAATATTTTTCATACAACTATGGAGATTGCCAATAACTAACTATTCATCGATATTCGATGTCAAGGGGCAGCCGCTGGAGAACCTCGCAGACCACCTTGCCGACCTTGCTAACCAAGCATTTGCCACAAACTTTGCTCTGGGAAAGTGAGTTTATTCAGAATATGGATGATACATGATGGATGTGTTTGATTTGCTGTTGCAAGGACATGATTTTATATTTTCAATTTATTGGTCTTATGTGAATCTAATCCATCTGATTTATAACGGGTTTCACAGTTCTTAATTATGGAGACGGCCTCGAAATGGATATTTGAAGTTTCCTAGTTTTGACATATTTTAGAGTTCATGAAACGAGGAAATGTGCACCATGAGAAGTTCTCGTGCTTCATAGACACTTCTGGATATTATGCATATCCCAACCTCCACATATAAGAGATGGTTTTCCTAAACCTTATTGCCCAGATTTTAATGTTGAGACTCACACTCCAGCACTTATATGTTTTGAGGCTTATGTAAATAAAATGTAAACAAAAGTGTTATTCGTTGCAATCATTTAACTTTAAATAAAATAAATTATCACCTCACAGTTTGAAGGTGCCTCATAAGGATCATCTATTCCAGTAAAACCTGTGCAGGGCAAATTTGCAATATAGTTCTTTAGATTACAATTATTTGGGATTCAAGTATGCAACCCTAGAACAAATAATGAAAAACATTCTTTCCTTTCTTCTTGAGTAAAAGAAAGGACAACTCAATGCACATTGGCATGTTCGCAAGGCGAGGGTCCAGTGAAGGGTCGCACCACAAGAATGTATAGAGGGCAAACTTTCCCTTGTCACAGTAGGCCACTCCTAACACCTTAAACAATGCGCCAAGGCTCTCCTTTCTTCTTCTTGAGTAATAGAGTAAAAATTTATATTACGACAATTCTAAAAAGAAAAGAATAAACACATCCGGTTCCTCAATTCATTAGCGAACTCGATTCATTACTAGGTTGAGTTCTTTATGAAAAATTTGCTAAAATTACATGCAATTGAGTAATGGTTATCCATCCAAATTGATGAAAATGTCAAATTAATACCTTAACTTGTCTCTACTAGCATTAAGAGTACATCATCATGCAATTGATACAACAAAGTACCTAAACATGACTTTTTGGTATTAATTGAGTACAGCTTTAACTCTCACATTGAAAAAAGATGAAATGGAAGGGATTAACCCTTTATTTTATACCCTTAGTATCCCAGTCAGCAAATATTCACTTCTATTAACCCTAATTACCTTTTAGGACTTTACTACATTTCCATTTCTTTCTTCTTTTGCCTTTTCTCTTTTTCTGTGTTGCTCTTCTTCTTTCCCTTCTTTCTTCTTAGTTTAATCTTCTTCTTATTCCTCTTATTTTGCTACATAACTCCTTGTCTCCTTGAACTTAGAAGGGGTTTCTATTTTCAGAGGCATCCTTTCATGTTGCTTGTTTGCTTGTCTTTTTGTTTGATAAGGGCCTACAAACTTAACTTCTTTCGTCCGTTGAGGCTGTAAAAGGAGATAAATGGGCGGCTATCTAGCAGAAGTCATTTCGGTTTGTATGCCTCCAGGTCTCTATGGACAAAGGGACAAGTGAATCATCACTTCTGGGCATCAAAGACAAGCCTTGTACCTTCTACCCGTTCCATTCCACCGTCGTGTATTGTTCCTAGATCAGCAAGCAAAGTAAGAAGGGTCTGCGTCAAGTATAACTGTTGTGGGAAGGTTTGTTTGTTGGCTTGCTGAGTAACAGAAAGCGGGGACCCTAACAATCAACTGTGGTGGCATATAAAGAGCAATGACGTCTGATGGAAAAGAAGGATGAGTTGTGATGGCCTGAAGAGATAAAAGTGAAAGGGCCTTCCGGCCATAAAAAGAGAAAACGGTGGGCACAACTCCTTTCTCGCTCTGTTCTACCAACTTCATCTTCTATTAATTGGAGATTGCCTGAACGAAACAGAACATATGTGCTGGACTTTTTTTTAACCATGTCAACAATAGGTTTAGCCAAATCAAAATTTTCTAACGTCAGTATAACAGACATACTCAACTGACACTAAAAAATCAAATTGATATACTTTGAGGTATTTGATATTCTGATACAAAGTTATGTACTCCTTATGCTATGGGAGACGAGTTAAGGTACCATTTTGACACTTTTCTCCATCCAAATTAAAACCAGTTTGGTAAAAGTAAAGTTTGGCTGCAATGGCCAAAGTTACTTAACAGGCTAAATAGTTTAAATTGCCTAAAAATTTAAACTAAAGCACATAATATACAAATGACAAACAGGATGAAACCAACAAATTTAAAATAGATTAATGCCCCATTGTCAGTAAACAAACAAACCTTTGATTTTTCCAGCTCGAGCAAGCTTGTAGAGGCCCTTTGGGTCTCTTCTTTCACATACTTCTAGTGGCGTATTCATAAAAACCTGTTAAGGAAAACTGAAGTGAAGAAGAGGGAAAGGAGACAAATATGTCTTCTTCTGCGAAAGGTTTTTTTATTCATCGTGTTATGTGGTTCTTCAAAAACTTGACTGAGTCATGTACCTCAATAAATGAATTTGGCAACATGGTGCGGCAAGCATCACAGTCCTTTCTGTAAGGAGATATTAAACTGGCAATGCAAATCAAACCAGCATCCGCAAATAGCTTCGCCACTTCCCCTGTGTTTTTTTTTTAAATAAATCTTGTTGATTTAGAAACTGCCAAGCATTGTCAGCTTAATTAATACTACCTCCATCCCCCTGAGATTGAGACAAAAGGGTGTGGTGCGATTTTTTAAGAGATGTGGAATTGTGTTGTTGATATTAAATTGATAAAGTGTGAATAAAGTAAGAAAGAATTGTAACCACTCAAATATTACTAAATGTGGTAAAATACATTAAAACTGGACAAAGTTAGGGGGACATAGGGAGTAAGAAATTTTATTTAATTAACGTGAAAGACATTTGAAGCGACTTTGATAATTTCCGCCAAATATGGTGGAAAATAAAGCGGTGATATTGTTACGGGCATAGTTGGGCGATAAAGAGAAGAATGATAAGTATGATAGTTGGAAAAACAACCCAGCTTCCCACCCTAGACAAGGAAGTGTCTGTTAGTTCTAGCGAGCGCACAAGAAGAATTATTCTCCAGAAGATTGATGATTTTATTCATTTAATATGACACCTTTATTTATATTAGTCCCATCTTTCTTTTTCAGTCTGTCCCACTAAGAGTGTCTCATACTAAATTTGGTACATTTTGTGTGGTTCTAAATCATTCTTACATTATTCTTACTTTATCAATTCAAAATCAAGCACATGAACTTTGCTGAATAATCACACCACATTCCCATGTACCAATGTTAGTGGAGTGGAGGTAGTAAAACATTTTGTGCATCAATTGTCTCATTTATACTAACTACTCCCTCCGTCACACTGTAATTGTCTCATTTTTTCCTTTTTCGTCCGTCTCACTAAATTTCTCCCACACCATATTTGATAGTATTTGAGTGGCTATAATTCATTGTTACTTTATTCCCACATTATCAATTTATTATCAACCACATAACTCTACTTTTTTAAAAAACAGTATCACTCTCCTGTGTCCCAATCTTAGGAGGACGAATGTAGTGTTATATTGTTATGTATATTATTTATAATGAGAATGTATAACTTTTATAAAAAGTGAATGTTCTGTACACGACACTGAAATAGTAATCACACTAAAAACAAGAATCCGTGTTTCCAAGAATATAGTTTTCTAAACTCTATAAAGAACCTAGAGCATAACACATTTTGTTGCACCAAATTTTAAAACAAATTATGAAGAATGCAGAAAATGTTATTAAAGATAGTTACCAAACGATGCCTTAACCTTCCCTTCATACTTGTGTTTGGGCATGAAATTAAGAAAGTAAAACCATGAGAATTGTATTTAAGATTTCAAAGGAGCACATATAGCAACAAAACCAATATGGTGGAATGTGGGTATCCTCCATTCCTCCCTACCTTGCCTGCAAAACCGAAAAAGAAGCAGAAGTAATGTCAAGCATATACTTACCAACCCTGCGGATATTTTCAGTCCTGTCTTCTGGCGAGAAACCAAGATTCTTATTGAGACCATGCCTAAGATTGTCACCATCCAGAACGTAAGAAAGCTTGCCCCTTGAGTGTAATTCTCTGCCAAGAGAGCATGCAAGTGTGCTTTTTCCTGCAGGATTGGTATAACCAAACATGTGGAAATAAGCTAAATTTGTAATAGACATGCCAGAAAGATTCAATAATACATTATGGAAAACTAATAACAATCCCACTTATATTATTAAACTTCATTGCTTGTTCAACTAAATACTTGCATTGTTTGCATCAAATTCAATAAAAATCACTTAGTAGCATATTTTTTGAAATAGGACCTTTTGTGGGAGATAAGTGCATTTTGAAACCAAAGGAAAGTAAAATTAGAAAAACATCAACAAATAGAAGGAAAGGGAGAAGTATAAACGGACAATGAACGGAAAAAACTGTGCCAACCTGAACCGCTAAGGCCAGTGATCCATACAATGCATCCCTGTTGATTGAGTAATTTTTCCCTTTCTGCCTTCCCAACTGCACACTGATGCCAGAATATGTTTGCTGGATTTCCCAAAGTAGCCATCAAGAACCAGCAATCTTACCTTTCCTATTATACCAAAAAAATCATACAGTCACAGACTCACAAATGGAAGCACTATAATCTGGAAAATGCAACAGCAACAACATCCAAGCCTTAGTCTCAAAAGAGATTGGGGTCGGCTAACATGCAACATCTGGAAAATGAAATAATGGTAAAAAAGTGAAAAACATATATAAAGATACATACTCCTTATGTCCCTTAAAACTTGACCAATGTTAACTCTCACGTGAATAAGAAAGTCAACATTGTGTAGTTGAAGTTTGTGGGGAGGAGATGTATAATAACGACCACATGCTTGGTACTCATAAGGGAAGCAACAAAGTTTCTTAAACAGTCAAAGAAGGAAACTTGTCAAAATTTAGTGCCTCAGTGAGATGGAGGGAGTATTAGTTATTGAGAGAAGAAGAAATACTTTGATCCAATGCGATAAAGATCCAGTCTTTTTACAAGCACAATACATTGTAATGGTAAAATAATGAGAGATTATAAGATTATTTGTGAATTGTGAGTAGAAGTTATAACGCACGGATCTGGTAAATTACAATTGGAGATCAGGCTACTCGTCACTCATTTTGTGCTCTTCACATCTTTTTGACCTTATCTTCTGCAATCTACATTTCTGTTTCTTAATTTGATCATCACGTTCATTTGAATAAACTTGGCGTTTGGGTATTATAAGTTCTACTTGAAAACAATGTCAAAAAAATGTTAATTATCAGCTGTCCTTCATACATCTATTCCCCATTAAACCAATGAATAACCATAACCAAAAATCAAAACGAAAAAGGATAAACAAAACGAACCGACAACGTTTCCATTAAATTTATCAGATTCATTCCCCCATCCAACGGTGCTCAAGAATAACCATCAAGAGTTCAATTCAAGCATGCAAGTTTGAGAAAAATGAAAAGAGAGGAGAATGATCGTGCACACCTGTTTAAGATGAGCGAAAGAATCCTTGAATGAAGAGCCAATGAGACGGGGATTTGATGAATGCGGGAATTTTTCAGTTGGAGAAGAGTGGTAGAGAGACAGAGAGAGCGCTAAATCAGCAGTTTGTGAGACGATGACGTTCTTATGTCGGGTTTGGGACGAAGGGTGCTTTATCTACATAAGTCAACCAATTTGTTCATCAAATACTTATAAGTCAATCAAGGATGTTTTATCCATCTTACTTTTCCAATTATATTGGTTGAATACATCATTTTAACTATTTTCATATAATGTTTTATTTATTTTATTAATAAAATACATTTTCAATATTTTCCCCCATAAATCGATTGAATCAATTAATCCAGTCAATTCAACTAGAACTTCATGAATTCAACGGAATCAGCCAATGAAGCTGATTTGGGTATTGCCAAATAGATGACTCTTATTCTTGGAAATTTAAGTTTCATTTACTAATCCGAAAGAGCTAGAATGTTTTTAATTGGTCTGAAATTTGTTGGTCTGATCTGGTCTAGTCTAGTCTGTTTAAGTCTACTCTAGTTTGGTTTGAATTGGTCTAGCCTGGTCTGATAAATGTCTAGTCTCTGTGTATTTTATAACTATATATGAAAGTTTGGTCTGGTCGTGTGTGTCTGTTTAAGTCTGGTCTGATCAGGTACGATCTTGTTTGTTTAATTCTGGTTTGATCTGGGACGGAAAACAATCCAAGTAAAAACGTTGTTAATCTTCTACTACCTCTGTCCCCCTAAGTTTGGGACAAGAGAGAGTGACACAGTTATTAATAAAAGTGGGTTTATGTGGTTGATATTGAATTGATAAAGTAAGAATAAAGTAAGAATGTCTTAGAACCACACAAATTTTACCAAATAAAGTATGAGACAATCTTAGTGGGACGGACCGAAAAGGTAAAATGAGACAATCATAGCGGAACGGAGGGAGTACTATTTTAGATATATATAAAACCCTAGCACTGATGACAATGCCTGGTCGTAGTACATAGCGGGTGAGTTTTCAGGTTCGTTCCCGAGGTTCCTTCCGGAGGATTTTGGTCTCCCTCAGCTCGTGTGCGGGGAAGGTTGTTTTCGTCCCCGCCGGTGTCAGCTTGGTCGAGAGGGTTTTTTGTTTCTTCTTGTTTGGGATCAAGGATGGATCCGGGATTACGGGTCAAGGGGGATGAGATTTTTTCATTAGTGTAGGGTGGTGAAATTTTTTCACTAGTGTAGCTGGGCGATTGTTTTTGCCAGTGTAGCGGGTTTTCGCACTGTAGGGCTCTGTGGCTTTTTTTTTTTCAAAAAAAATTCATTAATACATACTCCCTCCGTCCCCTTTTAAATGTCCCAGAAGAGGGTGACACGAGTTTTAAGAAAAGTGGAGTTGTGTGGTTGATATTAATTGATAAAGTAAGAATAAAGTAAGAATGATTTTGAGACACACAAACTTTACCAAATAAGATATGAGAGAATTAAATAGGGACATCCCAATATGGTAAAATGAGACATTTAAAAGGGGACGGAGGGAGTACACGATGACATTTAAATCTATTTCAATGTAAGTTTACATTATGGAAAAATAAGTATGATTTTATAATTGAAGTCCTCTAGAAAAAAGTATTGATACATTAAAGCGTATGCGAGTAAGAAATGACAAATCAAAGGAAAATTGTTTGAAAATAAAAAAGGATATATAACTTTTTATTCAATTATTTGAAGATAAAGAGTTCAACCTATAGAAAGGCCATTCGTATGAGAAGATCTCTACGGTGAATTTTATCATCTATATTGGAAATCCGCCATGGATGATGAGTTTAGTGCTTTAATTAAGAATGAGACGTGGGAGTTGGTTCCCCGTCCACCTAACGTCAATATTATTCGTTGCATGTGGCTTTTTAAACATAAATACAGGTCTGACGGTGTCTTGGAACGTCACAAAGCTCGGCTCGTCGTCAATGGCAAATCTCAACAAGTCGACGTTGATTGTGATGAAACTTTCAGCCCGGTTGTTAAACCGGCCACGATTCGTCTTGTACTCAGCATTGGTCTCTCTCAATCTTGGCCGCTTCACCAACTCGACGTCAAAAATGCCTTTCTCCATGGCCATTTAGAGGAGACTGTATATATGTATCAACCGCCGGGGTATCGAGATCGGTTACGTCCTCATCATGTTTGCCGTCTCATCAAATCTTTATACGGTCTTAAACTAGCTCCTCGAGCTTGGTACCACCGGTTTGCATCCTATCTTGCTAAGCTCGGGTTCTTCCATAGCACATGTGACCATTCTCTTTTCATATATCATAAGGGTCGCAACACTGCCTATATCCTGCTCTACGTGGATGACATAATTCTTACAGCTTCTTCCGATGAATTCCGCCAGTCCATCATCACTCAATTGGCCGCCGAATTCTCTATGAGTGATTTAGGACCCTTGTCTTATTTTCTCGGTATTGCGGTCACTCGGAACTCCTCAGGCTTGTTTTTTATCACAGTCCACATATATCCGTGATATTCTATGTCGGGAGGGAATGGCAGATTGCAAACCGGTCAGTACACCGGTCGACACAAATTCTAAACTGAGTGCCACCACCGGTCCTCCCGTCACAGATCCTACACTCTATCGCAGCCTAGCTGGGGCACTCCAATACCTCACTTTCACACGGCCCGACATCTCCTACGCCGTCCAACAACTTTGTTTGTTCATGCATGATCCGCGAGACTCCCACTTCAATGCCTTAAAACGGGTTCTTCGTTATCTTCAAGGCACGACACTTCTCGGGCTTCACCTCAGCCCCTCTCCTCTTACGGACCTTATCTCCTACACCGACGCAGATTGGGGAGGCTGCCCCGACACTCGGCGTTCTACATCTGGATACTGTGTTTTCTTAGGTGATAACCTTATATCTTGGTGACGTGCACTTTGTCGTGAGTGCACTCAAAATAAATTCAATACTAGCACTTATACGTAGTATAGGTGAAGTAGAGTTCGTATCCACAGGGAAAGGAATAACTTTCTTTTTATATAAATAGTAAGTAAGGGGGGTTTTGATTGTTGAGTGATTTAATTAAATTAAACCCGATGATGAACGAGTTATATGGGATTTAATTCAAAGATAAAAGTGACTTGGCATTGCTACTTTCCACTTGTTGATATATTTTAGTCGATCATTGTTATATCTATAACTTATCTCCTCTCGAATACTCAATCGAGGAGTATATCCAATTCATCGAGGATAGTTATTAACAACAACCGTTCATTAATAACCCTTACTATTAGTCAAGTATAGAACAACGCCATATACCGACTTGATAGTAGCATTTCATCTTTTAACTCCTTGATGAAATCAATTGAGATTGATAACCTTAACACAACGGTCTCGGTTTAACCAACAAAATTAATCCCTCTTAAGTTTATTAACCACGACCGTGCATTAACAAACCGAAGTTACTTACTTGTGAAACTATCAACGATTAACCATCGGTTCGTTGATCGTTTCTAGTAATAATTAATATGTGAAACAGAACTAGTTGATCCTTTAAGTAATGTTCAAAATATTAATATGAAATATGAATAGGGATTAATTAATATTCAAGGAAGAATATTAAAGAAGATGAATCCTACTATGGTTAAAATCAAGATGTTAACTAATTGTCATCTTAGTAACACTCCCCGATATTAACATAGAGGAAAGAATAGCTATTACTAAGACCAATGTCAAGATGTTAACTAATTGTCATCTTAGTAACACTCCCCAACATTGATATAGAAATAGTATTTAAAGGAAGAATTAATATTCAAGGAAAAGAAATTAAGAAAATAACTCACAACTTTAATAATCAACAAGCTTCAAGAGCAATACCAAGAAATGGAAGTTTAGCTCCTCATTTGGAGACTAAACATGCTAAAAGAAATATAGAGAAATGCTATTCTAAACTGAGCTTAAGAGTATAAAGGAATTGGTGTCTTAAAGTGAAGGAAAGGAGGTGTATTTATAGGCTTTTTGAGGTGCAGGCTCGGGTACTCGATCGAGTATATACAGATACTCGATCGAGTATGTGTAGAAATACCAGATTCGAGGTATACTCGATCGAGTATATGTTCATACTCGGTCGAGTATGTGCAGAAAGTGATATTCGAGCCATACTCGACCGATTTCGGGTTTAAACTCAAAGGCATACTCGATCTTAGATACTCGATCGAGTATGTGTAGAAATACCAGATTCGAGGTATACTCGATCGAGTATATGTTCATACTCGGTCGAGTATGTGCAGAAAGTGATATTCGAGCCATACTCGACCGATTTCGGGTTTAAACTCAAAGGCATACTCGATCGGGTATGTCGGTCTACCCGATCGAGTATAGACACTAAATCGTGGCCAAAATCTTCCCGGCATGTTCCTTTGTCTTCGGATCCGATCCGATTTGAAGTTTCAACCTTATACTCGATCGAGTATAGGTAATACTCGACCGAGTATAGACCAAAATCAGGATTTTCCCTTTTGTCTTGTGATTTTGCACCTTCCTTCCACTTTTGGGGTTCACCAACTGTCCTTTGAGTGATGGTAGACCTGTTTGAGCTCAGAATGACCCTAATCTAAACAAATTACAAGAATTCAACAAACTAAACTATTACACCAAAAGTGTGTAATTTCCGAAATACTAAACAACCAAAACTAGCTAAAAACGTAAACATACATACGGAAATTACAAGTGTATCACTTGGTCCTCCAAACGACAGCCTACTTTATCCCGCTCTAGTGCCGAAGCCGAGTATCAAGGGGTTGTCAATGTGGTGGCAGAAACATGCTGGCTTCGTAACATTCTAGTAGAACTCCGTTGTCCTATCCGTAAAGCTACACTTGTGTATTGTGACAATATCAGCTCTGTGTATATGACTGGCAATCCGGTTCAACACCAACGCACTAAACATATCGAAATGGATATTCACTTTGTTCGGGAAAAAGTGGCTCGCGGAGAGGTTCGTGTTCTTCATATTCCTTCTCGCCGCCAATTCGCCGATATTTTTACCAAAGGTCTGCCCATAATTTTATTTGACGAATTCCGGACCAGTCTCAACGTTCTTCCATCTCACGTTTCGACTGCGGGGGAGTGTTAGCCAATTAAATAAAATATGTAACATTATATTTTGTACTTATCACATACTGGCTG